AAGTATACTCTCTCAAAAATACAATTCAAACTTATGAATATGAGAGTATATAACTAGAAACACAAGCTCAAAGTGTGTGTATAAAAATCAGGAATTTAAGGCTCTTGAAATAGCCAAAATATTGAAAATAATTAATAAAAGAATGAACACACTTAGAATATAAAGGGAGGATGTTTAGAGCTTTGTTTCTTGAAGAAATATGAAGGATTAGGCTTGTATTTATAGTGGAAGATGTTAATTAGCCGTTGGGAGGTGATTAGGGTTGATTTAATTCAAATTTCGCAATCAGGAACAGTGCTGTAACGGATCCGGTAGGCAGGTGCCGTCCACACGGTAGCAAGGTACCGTGCGTACGGTAGGGGGTACCGTGAGAGGCGGTACCACGGTATCGTGTAGCACAAAAAAACTTCGTCTGGTTCTGGCGGCACCTAGTTAGGGCGGGTGTGGCCATCCGTTCCGGCCTACCGTACGGTACCTGGGTACCGTCTCACGGTATAGGGGTACCGTGTAGGCGGTATACCCTACCGTTTGGGGGTACCGTGCCACTGTCCTGATTTTTCCAAAATTCCCATAATCCTTCGTGTTTGAGTTTAAAACCTTTTGGATATTTGAAAAATGTTTATGGGATTGTTTTGATCATATTTTGTGAGTGCTTTTGAGCTTTTGAATTTAGGTATATAAAATCATATTCTTACATTGTTTTTCTACCTAAATTCTACGCTAGTTTAGTGTTTCGACTTCATTCTTAAGTACCGAATCTTAATTGATTCTTGTTGTATCTGAAACACTTAAACAAACGTCAAACTCTTATATTGTTTGTTAACATCAAAACATGAGACTTAGCAAACCAAGGCTAACAGTGGTTCCTCATGGTAGGGATAGTCGTCAGACCCATTGTCAACTTGGTAGTCATCATCATATGGGTTCTGATGTGGGTGGTAAGGTGGATGGTACGGAGGGCGGTTGGGTGATTGGTAGTAAGAAGGCGGTCCATAATAACCATTAGAGTTATCCATGATAATTATTACGGGTGGTTGGTGAAAAGAAGTGAGAAGATCGTTCTAACCAATCTTCACCCAAGCTAATTAGAAGAAATTAAACTAATGCCGTGCCACTCCCCGGCAACGGCGCCATTTGACAATTGCAGTTTTTCGGGTAGTAAACCTTCCCAGTAAAGGGTTAGTGTTCTCTCCGAGTGTCGTGTCTCTCAAGGAGTGGACGAAGGGAATCAGTTTAATTACTCTAACTAGGCGAAGGTTAGGATTGGTTTATGAAAGTCTTCTCGAAACGATTATAAAAAGAGTAGAGTAAAAATAGTATATTAAGTTTACACAGTATAAGTGTAGATCTGGACCTAGGGTCAGGACATCATTTGGATCTATTCTATCATATTAAATTAACAATTGGAATAATAATATTTCTATTACTACTCATCCATTTCTAGATTTGTACTTAATCCGTTGTACTTGAATATCATAGCCTTTTGGCATACAATATTTCCTCAATAAATAGTCAATTAAATCTTCCGGTATTAATTAACTAATTAAGGCAAGAACAATTGACTAACCATTCCAATATTAATTTAACATCAAATAAACAACCAAACTAGTCCGGGCCCAGAGATCAGGACCCTAACTCATACTACGCAAACATAAATTAAAACATCATTTTATTAAATAAAGAAAACTTACAACTTCCATAAAAGCGGAACAGAACAGATTGGGAGTAGAATTCCTCCCAAGATTACTCTAAAACTACTATAATAATAAACTAGTATTTGGAATTGTAATAATAAGCTCAAATCCTGAGAGAGGGGATGAAAGTGATGTGTTGTGTAACACCCCAATCCGTATAACCCGGAATTATACGAATTATGGTGAAACAAGAGTTAAATAAAAATTTCGCTTGACATTTGAAAATGACAATTACTTATAAATATTAAATTTACAGACTCTGGATCGCGACCCATTTAAAAATATTTTCAGAGTAATGCGGAAGTACAATAATAACCAAATCATGACATATTTTAAAA